ATCAATGTTGTGTATTTCATTTTAACCATAAGGAAGCCATTGATCTTTCCTTAGTGTTTGCTCAGATTCGTCATGGACGTGTATCCAGATTGTAGTGGAAACTAATCCAACTCCAAGTGACCAGACGAATTCTATTTGAAGGAGCTATGACTGACCTATGTAGACAACAACTAACTCCTTGCATGACTGTGGAATACATAAATTAACTAATATCATCACTTGGAAAACTCCGTCTGTAGCTCTTCTAGAGTTACTACCGGTAACAAGCCCGGATAAAGTAGGAGGCTTGGGCATGGAGTTAGCGACCCCATCCCGTAGAAAACTAACTCGCTAAAACAACGCTTACCAGAAAAAGTAATTCAAACCATTTTAACTCTGCCCTGAGAGTTAGAAGGTCTTCATTTAGAAGAGTTATGACGCCTCATGGTGAAAGTCGAGTTCCTTCGGAATTCACGAGGCCGATGCCCCTTCTAACAACCAGAGCAAAAAGTTTTCTAGGTACGTGTAACGTTCGAACAATGTGGGAGACCGGGAAGACCAGTCAAATAGCAACAGAAATGAGGAGATACAAATTGGCAGTACTGGGAATCAGCGAAACCCACTGGACCCAAGCTGGACAGAAAAGGCTAAATACGGGAGAGATGCTGCTATACTCGGTCACGAAGATGAAAATGCTCCACACACTCAGGGAGTCGCTCTAATGCTGTCCAAAGTAGCACGAAATCCACTTGTAGAATGGGAATCTCACGGATCCAGAATCATCAAAGCATTATTCAAAACAAAGAAGGAGGGAATCACAATGAATATTATCCAATGTTATGCACCCACCAATGATAGCAACGACGACATCAAAGATCAATTCTATGAGAGGCTACAGTCAATCATAGAGAAATGCCCAAGAAAGGACCTCACCATTCTGATGGGAGATCTAAACGCCAAAGTTGGAATAGATAACAGCGGATATGAAGATATCAAAGTAACTACAAACATGCTTCACCTTCTATTCAAAAAGATTTGGGAGGAGGAACAAGTGCCGATGGACTGGAATGAAGGATACCTCATCAAGATTCCAAAGAAAGGAGATCTGAGCAAATGTGAAAACTACAGAGGCATCACACTACTGTCAATACCAGGGAAAGTCTTCAACAGAGTGTTGCTGAACCGGATGAAAGATGCAGTAGACGTCCAACTTCGAGATCAACAAGCTGGATTCCGTTAGGATCGGTTGTGCACAGACCAAATTGCAACACTACGGATCATCGTCGAACAATCAGTTGAGTGGAACTCATCACTATACATCAACTTCATTGATTATGAAAAGGCATTTGACAGTGTGGATAGGAGGACATTATGGAAACTTCTTCGACACTACGGAGTTCCTGAGAAGATTGTCAATATTATCCGGAACTCATACGACGGACTACAGTGCAAAGTAGTGCATGGAGGACAGCTGGCAGATGCATTCCAAGTAAGGACCGGAGTCAGACAAGGCTCTTTACTCTCTCCCTTCCTCTTTCTTCTGGTGGTCGACCAGATTATGAGGACCTCGACATCTGAAGGAAAACACGGAATACAATGGACAGCTCGAAATCAATTAGACGATTCAGACTTCGCAGACGACCTAGCCCTCCTATCACGTACACACGAACAGATGCAGATGAAGACAGCCAGTGTAGCAGCAGTCTCTGCATCAGTAGGCCTCAGCATACACAAAGGGAAAACCAAGGTCCTCAAATTCAAAGCGGAAAACAGCAATCCAATCACTCTTGATGGCGAAACTCTGGAAAATGTAGAATCCTACACATACCTGGGAAGCATCATCGATGAACAAGGAGGTTCAGATGCAGACGTAAAGTCAAGGATTGGCAAAGCAAGGGTCGCATTCCTACAATTGAAGAACATATGGAACTCAAAATAACTTTCAACCAATATCAAAGTGAGAATCTTCAATACGAACGTCAAGGCAGTTCTACTGTATGGAGCTGAAACTTGGAGAACTACAACAACCACCATCAAGAAGATACAAGTATTTACAAATAGCTGTCTATGCAAGATACTCAACATTCATTGGCCGGATACCATCAACAACAGCCTTCTGTGGGGGAGAACAAACAAACTTCCAGCTGAAGAAGAAGTCAGGAAAGACGATGGAAATGGATAGGACACACATTACGCAAATCATCAAACTGCATCACGAGGCAAGCCCTAACTTGGAATCCTGAAGGGAAGTGGAAAAGAGGAAGACCAAAGAACACATTATGTCGGGAAATAGAAACAGATATGAAAAGTATGAATAATGACTGGAAAGGATTGCCCAGGACAGGGTTGGATGGAGAATGCTGGTGAGCGGCCTATGCTCCTTCACGAGGAGTAACAGGTGTAAGTAATCATTTTGAAATTTGGTAAATAACACATAATATTTATTTGCCATTGAGTTTCGAAAGAATGATGAGATATAAACTTACTTAGCCTTGAGAAAATCTAAAATGGACAAGTTAATTTAGAGTATTTACTAACTGATAAATTAGTTTTAGAGTTATGTGCAAATGTTTTTCAGACTGTTGGTGATAGCTCATTGATCCAGTGCTAGCGGATAGATTAATAAGACACTTCTGTGTATGCAGTTTTTTGCCGTTCAGATTTTTGGAATATCTTTTTTGTCCACTTACGATTTTTGTCCTGATAAAGGACCAGTCAAGTGAAGCATTGTTTCCAAAGAATATTGGGTAGCAGAATATATATTTCCTAGATTGACCACAGGAACTGATCTCATTCAAAAAGGATTGTGATTATGTTAGTTACCTTTCTGTCAGGTCAGCCAACTTCACCACCTATACAACTAACCAACATGACTGCCACACTTAAATACTATAAGACTTAAGATGAGTAACCACACCGTTTTTTAAAATGCTTTTACGAGTATGATTTTATAATGAACAGAAAAGTACGAACCTGTATGAAGCACAGGTAAAATAAGACTGTTAGTTCGAGTTTCACTTAAAGATGACTCGATGACCAATATTCAAGAATACAGGATTCATTTATCAATCTAGAAAACATGTTTCATATGCCTTAGTCCGAACATCCTGAAGGATTAACTGATTTTGTACTAAACCCCAGGACCCAGACAACAATAATCCTTTAGGTGTAAAAGTACAACAATTCTTGTCAATGAACTATAAGATTCAATCGCACTTAGAGAGTATACCTTCATTTACATCCCAAGAAAATACAATCTACGGTGAGCTTTACCACCGACTAAATGACTACAATTCTCTGTACCAAATTTATTGACAGCAAGCTACCTACCAACCTCTTCTTACAACTTGAACTTGAATTCAAATACATCACATTTGAATTAACTAGCTATGAAGTAGAAGTGCGTGACTTATTGGTAAGCCTATTGTTTCGACAATCAAAAAACTCATTTTCAAATAACAGAGATTAACTACAAATACTGATGTAAGTCAGTCAGTAACAACGTAGAACTTCGTACGTACGTACATCAGTTCGAGTTGCCACACCACATTAGCACAGAGATGCAGTTGTCGATTCAAATCCCGGAGTGGTAGAGGTAATAAGAGTATAAGCAGTAATCGGGAAGATTAGGGTTTGGAGATGTTATTTAAAGAGTATAATCCAGTGAAATAAATTTGGAAAGAGGGAAAAAGGGGACATGAAGAATTCAGAAGATTAGAATTTGGGAGAACACAGAGAGTGGATGCACCTGCGCCATTGCAAACGATTTTGACCCATGTCATTCAGGGTCTCTAACCATCGGTTGCTATCATCTCGTGGTCCCCAACCAGGTAGTCTACACCTACCAACAGGACTCAGTCCACTTGTCAGTGACTTCATGGACTTGTGCCATGTTTTGGTTTGGCCGCCTCTAGCTTTCTTCCAACCTACTCCTATACCACTGAACATAGCACGTCGAGGTAGTCGGTCGTTGGGCATACGTAACACGTGTCCCAGCCATCTCAACTGATGAAGTTTCACTACATCATCAATTGATTTGCCATCCTTACCGAGTACCCGTTTCCTAACAACTGTTACTTACTCGATGGTCCCATGATATACGAGCAGTGTTTCGAAGACACCTATGATCGAATACTAGTAACCTACGAATATCCTCTACTCTTACCGGCCATGTTTCACTGCCATAAAGAAGGACGGGACGAACTGCTGCGCAGTAAACACGTCCTTTGGTTGATAGACGGATATCGCGCCTACGCCATAAATGACGCAAGTTGGCAAAAGCTAGTCGAGCCTTCTGTATCCGTGCTGAGATTTCGTCACACACCAGACCACAAGGGTTGATGAGACTACCAAGATAAGTGAAGCGGTCGACACACTCAACTACTTCACTCCCTATCACTAGTTTGGGTGTCGATGTAACCCAATCCTGAAGCAACATTTTGCATTTCGAGGGAGAGAATCGCATCCCGAACATGCCTGCATTGTTGCTTAGAGTGGTCAGAAGACTCTGCATTTTGTCAGCGTCTTCACCAAATAAAACTATGTCATCAGCATATTCTAAGTCAACAAGTGAACCTCCTGGTAGAAGTTCAACCCCTGGAAATTTAGATGAGGAGAGTGTTATCTCTAAAAGTACGTCGACCACAAAGTTGTAAGCAAATATCAGAGGTAAGTTTGTGGATTTAAAACTTAATTGTCACAGGAGGTCCAAACTTTCTGAGTAGGGCTAACGCGAAAAGCGTATATGATAACTAGAGACTCTGGATTGTAAGTCTCGAAATTGGTGACGCCGAAAATTGGCGTTTTTTATTAATAATTTAGTAGATAAAACGGTGGCTTCGTCAAATTTAAGATGAGATCGATTAGTTTTTGGATCGCTCCTATCCCTACTTTTGAAAGATCAACGATAGCGATTTAATAGCATAGGGAACCTTTGTGGCATTGATTTCTAAATTATGAAGTTAGAAATTCACTCACATCACCCATCTGAATAGAATATTAGAAAGCACATGAGTCATTTTAACTGATTTATTAATCCGAAAAAAATTGGTTTAAATACAAGACCACGACGATGTGTAAAACCGTAGGAGTTAATAGATCCTGATATCAGGAACTTATTTGAAGGACAAGAATGCAATAGTAACAAAACATAAAAGTCTGGGAGTGAAAATAAGAAGTAAATAGGGTTGTGATCATACTGACAAATACATTTTCACAAAATATAAGACAATTCATGTCGGATATAAGTGTGATCTTGTTCGTCAGGAATACGTGGGAAACCATAAACTAAGCCATCTTGATTACCAATGTAAATAGTATTGTACACTTTCCACATCATATCTCTCACTTTCCTAGCAGGATGGAATAAGCCCTGAGAGGAACGAAAAACACAAAAATATGTAAAATATCCTGTTAAAAATAAACAATACATTTTTCAAAAAGAAGAATAGCGTATGATATGTGTGGATCGAAAGTTTCCACTATTTGAGGAAATTGATTCTAGGGACCGTTTATCGTTTTCGTAATCATGGTAAAAATATCACATTTGTTTTGACTTATGTATGATTGTTTTTTAACAGTTGTGAAAGATCTTTTTTTTAATTCAAAAGGGTGATTTTCTGCACACCATGTAGTTTTTGTTTGAAGGAGAATATAGTCTCATTCAGAAGCGATAGGACAAAGATATTCAAAACACTTATGAAAATGTTTATCTCTTTCTTGGTAAGTGTAAGTGCAAAATAATAATTAAAGACTAATTGTTCCCAATACCTTGGCTAGAAATAGGAAAACTCAATGAAGATTCTCTAATAAAAACTTTGTCCAACAGATTTAAATATCTCATATTTAGGCAGAACTTACTTGAAGACAATACTGAAGTACTTTGTTAGGACCAAGTGCAACACGGAGACCTTCAATGCAAAACATGAAAGCCTGAATGACATGTGGCGAAGTTTCCAAGACATTAGGCCAAACGACGTTCAGGAGATGCAGAAGAGCATCCTCACACCCAAACCCATATACACCAAGAGCCATATGAGCTACTGCAGTCATTGCAGTTTGTCTGTGCACAAGATCACTAAAAGGAAAAATACATTAGGTTAGCAAACCGCATAGAAAAAGAGTATATTAAGGAATTTTTAGTTACCGGTCCATTAGTGCATCTTCTAACAGAGGAGTTACGGCATATATGTAGTCTTTGCTCATTTCACCAATATACTCGAACATGAAAGCCAGTGATTTTAAAACACCATTTTGAACATTTAGTTCAGGGACCCTATATTCATTCATAAGACCGGGTAAAACAGTAAATGGACTACATGTCTCTGCAACAATAGCAATAGCAACAGTTGTGCAAACACGATTTTGACGCTCTTGAACCTGAAGAGAAAAATTTAGAATATTAAAATGGAAAACACAAATGAAAGTGAAGAAGATAACAACAAATAGACTGTAACTGGCTTTGACAAATAAGCTCTAAACAACTCACCTTTAAATTATTTAACAGAGTCGCTAAAACATCATGTGGACCGATTGCTTTGGCAATATAACCAAAAGTGTTGACAGTTGCTCGTCGAATTGATTTTTTATGTGCTTTTAATAATTCCAAGAGTTCAAAGCAGATACGCATCCATTCTCTAGAAGAGACATACTCCGACCCACGGTCTGCTATTCGTCCAACAAGATCGATACAGTTTTCTTCTACTTTTTCATGCCTAGAAAACAAGAAGAGTATCATTACCAAGGTCTAACTAGATAATATCAAACTTATTGAATGTAGGGTGGAATGACTGTTTATAAGAAAATTGATTATATACTTCTAATACCTCCCGACCGAAGCTGCTACCTTGACGCGGTGGTCGGGCTTGCCTATCGTGATGACCCAACTGAGCTATATTGGCTGGAACATATGTTCCTGTAGGTTCTACCATGCCAGGCAGGTCGATTGGAGAACGGTAAGACTAAAAGCAGCAACTCAAGGTCTGAGGGCGAAGTCGTACTGCTGACTGTAGAGAGGTGTGACAGCAGTAAGGTGTTTCCCTCGGACAACCAGCATGACAGCGATGCTGCCTTCCCACAAGGAGGGGTGGGGTTAGAAAAGGTCGACCCTAAAAATGCCACACCTCACCTTACCTCACGGATTTCCGTCTCCGGCGGTAAGGCCCTTTGAAGAACGGAGCTAACACGTCAAAAACCTTCCACAAAAAGGCCGTGCGCGACCGGCCTCAAGCAGTTGTCCCTTGGGCTCTGCGGTCACGCTCCCAGGTCGTCAAGACCAACACTAATCCAATTTCCTTTTCAGGTTCCTCAAGAAATACCCTTCCACGGTGTGGGCAGCCGGGAAGTGACATCAGCCCTCATACCCGTAACAGCACAAGAGACCAAGGTGGTCACATTCAAATCCTTCCTACACCTCCTAATACCTCTCTTATCTCCATGACTAACCCTCCTCACGTCTCTTTATCACCTCGCACCGCTAGGGCAAACGATTCGAGTACGTGGAACGCCATTCCTGGTCTCCTGAAACCACGCTCTAAACTACACGTAGGAGCTTTTAACGTACGAACACTTTGCCAAATAGGACAGCAGGCTTCCTTAGCTAAAACTTTAGAATCTCGCGCCATCGATGTGTGCTGCGTCTCCGAAACGCGCATACAGGATCCAAGTAGCGTCATTCATTTGACCTCACCATGCCAAAATAAAGAACCGACTCGATTTACGCTTCGTGTATCTGGAAGCCCTGATTCTGCTTCCCGTGGCCTCGCCGGCGTAGGTATAGCATTGAGTCCTAGGGCAGAACTAGCTCTCTTAGAGTGGATCCCAGTAGACAGTCGTTTGTGCGCTGTCCGACTGAACGGAACAGTAAGAATCCGGAAAGATAGGGACACTCGTCGTTGCCTCTTCGTCGTCTCTGCCTATTCTCCCACTGACTGCAGCTCAGATGATGTAAAAGATGAGTTTTACAGAAAGCTTTCGGACCTTCTCCGAAAAGCTAGCGCTCGGATGTAGTAATAGTGGCCGGTGACTTTAATGCTCAAGTAGGTAAACTAAGCGATAGGGAAAGACACCTAGGTGGATCTTATGGTGTCGTGGCTCAAAGAACAGATAATGGCGACCGTCTGTTGCAGCTATGCTCAGATAACCGCCTGTTCCTTGCAAATACTAACTTTAAGCATAAGGAAAAACATCTTTTAACATGGCGACCCCCTAATTCGTCCCAACGTTGGACCCAAATAGATCACATCGCTATCAGCCACCGATGGAGGGGCTCGATAGAAGACTGTCGCTCATTCTGGAGCACATGCCTAGATTCAGATCATGCTCTAGTGCGAGCGCGTATTTGCTTGCGTCTTACTGGACGTAGGAAAGACGCTGCAAGGAAACCTCTTAGGGCCTACTTAATGATAGTCAAGCTAAGAGTATATTTCAGGAACAACTAGGAAAACAGTTAGGCAGCCATGTATGTGATGCCCACCCCGATGCAGCATGGAATGATATCCGAAAAGCTGTGGAAACAGCAGTGATATCTGCTAGTAAGGTAAACCAGAAGGTTAGGGAGCAACACTGGATCTCAGCAGCATCTATCTCACTGATAGATGCTCGGAAACTCATTCCACCTGGCTCTGAACATAATGAAGAGCGGAGTCAGCTTAAGCGCAAGCTGACAAGAAGTCTACGCAATGATCGCGAACAGTGGTGGGTAGCGAAAGCAAGAGAGATGGAAAAGGCAGCGGCAATAGGTAATAGCAGACAATTGTTCAGACTCGTTAAGGAAACCGGAATTAGGAACCCGACCGTTAGCGAAACAATCTCAGAGAAAGATGGACATATTATTCATTCTCAATCCAGGAGATTGGATCGATGGGCAGAACACTTTAGGGATCAGTTCAACTGGCCTTCAGCCACACTTCGGTTTCCCACGATCTCTAGTCAACCTGAATGGCAAGTTAATGTAGGTCCTCCGTCCCTTTACGAAGTTGAAAAAGCCATAGGAAATCTGAAACGAGGGAGAGCAGCAGGCCCTGACAGGTTTACTCCTGAGATTTTTAAGGATGGTGGTCCAGTATTAGCAATGAGATTAACTGAGGTCTTAGGTAGAATTTGGGAACTGGACGTAATCCCATCTGACTGGTCTCAATCACTGATTGTGCCAGTCTATAAGAAAGGACAAAAGTCCTCTTGTGACAATCACAGAGGAATCAGTTTGACTAATATAGTGTCTAAAATATTAGCTTCAATAATACTTCGACGCCTAATCAAAGCTCGTGAAGAGCAGACTAGAGAAAACCAGGCCGGTTTTCGACCTGGACGTGGTTGTATAGATCAGATATTCACACTACGTCAGGTTCTAGAACACAGACACACATTCAGACGCCCCACAATGGTAGTATTTCTCGACCTTAAGGCGGCATTCGACTCTGTTGATCGTGAGGTTCTATGGCAGTGTTTGTCACTGAAAGGAGTACCAAAGAAGTACATTAACCTTATAAAGGCTCTCTACTCGAACACAACTGGTAGAGTGAGAGCTTATGGCGAACTGTCATCAGAATTGATTACCTCAAGTGGTGTTCGTCAGGGCTGTCCACTCTCCCCATTCTTGTTCAACTTTGTGGTCGACGTACTTTTAGAGATAACACTCTCCTCATCTAAATTTCCAGGGGTTGAACTTCTACCAGGAGGTTCACTTGTTGACTTAGAATATGCTGATGACATAGTTTTATTTGGTGAAGACGCTGACAAAATGCAGAGTCTTCTGACCACTCTAAGCAACAATGCAAGCATGTTCGGGATGCGATTCTCTCCCTCGAAATGCAAAATGTTGCTTCAGGATTGGGTTACATCGACACCCGAACTAGTGATAGGGAGTGAAGTAGTTGAGTGTGTCGACCGCTTCACTTATCTTGGAAGTCTCATCAGCCCTTGTGGTTTAGTGTGTGACGAAATCTCAGCACGGATACAGAAGGCTCGACTAGCTTTTGCCAACTTGCGTCATTTATGGCGTAGGCGAGATATCCGTCTATCAACCAAAGGACGTGTTTACTGCGCAGCAGTTCGTTCCGTCCTACTTTATGGCAGTGAAACATGGCCGGTAAGAGTAGAGGATATTCGTAGGTTACTAGTATTTGATCATAGGTGTCTTCGAAACATTGCTCGTATATCATGGGACCATCGAGTAAGTAACAGTTGTTAGGAAACGGGTACTAGGTAAGGATGGCAAATCAATTGATGAAGTAGTGAAACTTCATCAGTTGAGATGGCTGGGACACGTGTTACGTATGCCCAACGACCGACTGCCTCGACGTGCTATGTTCAGTGGTATAGGAGTAGGTTGGAAGAAAGCTAGGGGCGGCCAAACCAAAACATGGCACAAGTCCATGAAGTCACTGACAAGTGAACTGAGTCATGTTGGTAGGTGTAGACTACCTGGTTGGGGACCGCGAGATGATAGCAACCGATGGTTAGAGACCCTGAATGACATGGCTCAAAATCGTTTGCAATGGCGCAGGTGCATCCACTCTCTGTGTTCTCCCAAATTCTAATCTTCTGAATTCTTCATGTCCCTTTTTTCCTCTTTCCAAATTTATTTCACTGGATTATACTCTTTAAATAACATCTCCAAACCCTAATCTTCCCGATTACTGCTTATACTCTTATTACCTCTACCACTACGGGATTTGAATCGACAACTGCATCTCTGTGCTAATGTGGTGTGGCAACTCGAACTGATGTACGTACGTACGAAGTTCTACGTTGTTACTGACTGACTGAATACCTGAGTAACTAGACAACTGAATTTCTGATGTTTCGTGACTTAGTGTAAGTCGCTTCTTCAGAGAATAAAAGGCGAGTTAGATTGGTACAAGTTTAAATAGTACCATTCATTATTTTAATTGCATGTATGGAAAAGAGGTTTAAAGTCGCAATCCTCAGTTATCGACAAAACATCAGTAAAACCGATGATCAAAATATAAGTCGGTGGTAAGCTGACTGAAAACGACCATGTTGTATACCATTTAGCGATAGTGAACAATAACATTTAGAACTAACCTGTTTTTCAATATTGGTGTCAATCTTGGCAGAAGTTCTTTAATTGGAGGAGTCATTTTGGTCATACCAATTACATTTACAATAGCCTTAAGGGCACCCAAAATACTTCCAAGTACTTCTGGATATTCTTCACCAAGGTATTCATATAAAACTACACCCAAATGACCCATTAGTTTTTCTTCTTGACACACTTTCATTACACCAGCGATACGACTAATAAGGTCGGCTGCCTGCTGACGAACTTTAGCCGATTTGTTATTAAGACGCCATAAGATTGTACCACATATTTGGGGCAAGTACGGCTTAACACGTTTACCAAGTGATTGTACAATAGTTCCAAAACCAATCAACATGACAGCGTCCTGAGTATTAAAAGATATCAAAAGAATGCATATAAGTCTATAGTGTGAAAATGTGGCTTAATGCACTTAAAAACAAGCAAACGACAAGGATTCAGCTTGGTGTTTTAATAAACTGGTATAGTTGAGGGAACTTGAACAAACGTATATCCTTCATTTTAAAAACGTTTCAGAGATTAAAGAACCTATTTTAGGACTCAGCCTACCACCCTATGAATAGTACAGAGAAGTCAATCAACGAACGAGGAGCATCATTAGCACTTGCATTTGAACTAGCAGGCAATAAAACAAGATTCATACTGACCGGCAACCCATTAGATGGAAACCGAATGTTTAGATAATTGGGCTATTGTTCATAATTAGTAAACTCAGCAGGACCTTATACTGTTTAATTCGATTTGTAAACCGCCTATTTAAAAATTTGGAGATAATGACTACTAAGATACTACTCATTTAAAACTATATGCATAAAAGCAAGCAGAAGTTCGATTGAACCCGGGATACTTCAGAAACTTTAAATTCACGTTAGTGAATTTATAAAAGGAAAGCATATGAATAGTAATCCAAAAGAGTGACGAACAATTTACTTATTCGAAATATAAAATATTTACAAGTAGCTCACTTCGGTACTTTGTTCCTGGAAAGCATATAATATACCATCGATTAATTGCTCTTCAAGTCGAGCATCAACTTCTGTGCTTCCTAGTGCAGACATAACTTTTTCGATAGTCTCCATCACCATTTTACGATAAGGTTCGGACTCATCTTTGAGGTCATCTACAATTCTAGAGATGATATCAGCTGCACCGACTTTATTTGCTATTTCCACAGTTGTATCAACCAGCTAACAATAATAAAAGAGAAAACAAAGCATCTTCTTATGTACAAGGTAATAAGACCAAACTAACTATTTTAATTCGTGACCGAAAAGTGATAATGAGCTGAGTGACAATTACTTCTTAATAAAACGGTGAGAAAAAGAAATATTATACTCAATTATGATGAGGCTATACGACTAGCATATCACATGTCTGGGTATTTTCTTCGTCGTACTCCACATAAAAGATTTTACTATCAGCAATTGCATAACACATTTAATTGACTTCAAAAATAAGTTCAGTAGTGATCTGAAACTAAAAAATATTCTTATTTACGAAATCTAGGATAAATTGAAGTGTAAAGGGCTTTGAAGATGATAAACAGTTTAAAGTCACTTGACTACGGTTACTGATCCAAGTTGTTTTTCAGAAAATTTGTGAGACACAATATAATGACAACAGTAGTAAAATTGCAGAACCCCCCAAAATTATCAGACAGGTTATGAAATCACAATTCGCTGTATAATTAAGTGAAATTTACTTGTATGGGAAAAAAACTGTTTCCGTGCGTTCTTACGATGAGATTTGTTAAGTGTAAATACCTTATGCAAAATTTCTGAATGAAGATCAATGATACTTAGACTTTAATATGACAAATTTTCTTATTAGCAATTTGAAAGCTGGTGTCTTGAGCGAAATCTGTGATTGACAAGTTCAACAAGTGTTGGAAAATCACCAAATATAATTTTGATTTGACCAGTTTATAAGCTACACAACCTCTATATATAGTTAATTTTGTCTAAAATAATTGTGTAAAGTTTTATTCTGTTGAAGTTAGAAATAATACAGCATCGAGAGCCACAAATGAATAATCTTTGGTTGTTTAGAGACTTTTATGTTCTATTATTGACTACCCATTCGCTAGCCGAAAAACAGCTTATAGTCATGCTATTTTATTTGGATATTTTGCATATATAAGGCATAAATTTCCTAATAAATTATATTCAAAAAAGACGTACACCTAGTACTAAGATATAGGATTAGTTCATATCATTGTCTGGTGTCCTGAGCCTTGTCAAGAGATATAGACTAGTTGGTTAGGATCAACGTGATAATCATAACCTATGACTGGAAATTTTAAGTGACATTTCAGAAAACCGGTCAAACTGGTGCAGTTGCATTAATCTTTTATCTACTTCCATATCCTGGGTTTCAACATTATTCCATATATTTTTAACTCGACTTTTATTTGTTCTTATGGTCTATATTCATCAAGCTTAGATTTCTTTTACGTTCACTGATACTATTATCATCTCACTTTTAAAATCTTTATATTGTTAACTTCTTCTCTCTATGAAAAGTGAGAATGTGGGTATACGCGAACTTTTGCCAAGTTTAATATTTGTGACTGATTAGGGAACTTGGTACGAGCAAATATTAATGCGAATCGGGAACATAGAGTTAAGCACTAGGTAGGTTAAAAGTTCTTTTCTTTTGTGGATATGAGGTCAAAAAATTAACATTCATCAAGATCAAATTACAATGCAACAAAAAACGTAAAAAAGAATACCTGTCTGTAATTGCGCCGATCTAGAGCCATACGTTGTGTCCAAAAGCTACGGAAAAACGGTGGTAGAATTTCCGACTTAATATAATCAGGTTCGACACCGTCTGTTGCACAGCACTGCTTGACTACTTTAAGAACAATTTTTTTCATTTCTTCATCAGGAGACTGAAACTCACGGATTAAAATTAACATAACTTCACGGGTATAATAATTGGCATACTCTGCATCCATTAGGGGGATGAGGTAGCCAATAGCTTTTAGGAAAGCGGCTAAACCTTTGCCTCGATGAGTTCTTATACCACGCCACAAAGGTTCCAAAACTGAGTCAAATGATTCTATACCATAAGGAGTGGCTGCTTCAGCAAGAGCGGCCAAAGCTAATGCTGTAATGGTGCGAACTTTTTGTTGTTCATCAACTAACCCGTGTTCAATAATTTCCACTAAAGACCGTAAATGCGGTAGAATTGCACAACCCATAAGGATAGATATTTGTTGAACAATCTTGATGCCAGTATGTCTAGCTTGCCAAGATTTTTTAGATTTGCAAACGGCTTTTAAAAATGGCAACAAACTAGGGATTCCTAGAGCTGATGCAACGACAGCAAACGCTCTTGCAGTTGTATTACGCACATATTCGTCCATATTATCAATATCGGGACGCATAGTAGAAATCATAGTAGCGAGTCCGGCAGCCTATTTGATATAAATAGTAAAATGTCAGGTTATTCACTAAAAAAATGTTACTCATAATTATACATGAAAGTCACGAACATATAATTTGGAACGAGTTTACAAATGACTGTCACTCTTATCGTACTATCAGCACTAACCAAGTAGAGGTTAGTTAGCGTTCGCCTTACATTAGGTTTAAAAGCATGTGCAACATGAATTTCATCAAGCAACGTGTTATTGTTACTAGTAACGAAATGAAAGTCTAAGAATTGGTCCCATGAATGAGTACTTGGGTATTGAGTTGGATTACATTAAAACGAAATAATCTGTCGGTTTTACGAAGATGTCCTTTCAGATAGCAAACTTTGATTCAAATTCGGTGATTTATTTAATTTAAACAAAAGTTTAATTTCGAAACAATACAAAGCAAAACTAGAAAGGACTTCCTACAGCTAACAGCGGGAAACGAGTTACATGGCTTTTATTAGATTAACTTTACATCCAATCCCCGTTAAATTTTTATGAAATAGATTGATGTATAAATTTCACTGCAGTTGTGGTATTTAAAAAAAGCACGACCACACCAATGCTGAATTATGTGTATTTATATTATCGTATTAATACGGGAATAATCAGTGTCTCTATTGTGATTTGCTTTGTCCTACTTAATTACAATTAGCATTGTGATTTAATTCCATCTGGTTATGTCTTGATTTGGCTGTGACGAGAAATTTCGGCTGCAACAAACCCACGCCAAGTTTTACACTTCTTGAACTTTATGCTTTTCTTAGGCCCACCTCGAATATTGTTATCACCAATAAAAGTTACTTGAATTTTGGTTGATGATGCATACTATAAGAGGGAAATTTTAAAAAGGAACGAGCATTTGATATTAAAATCCTTGGAGATATGTTGACTTATATATATTGACTATCTTTAAACTAAGTTTTGTTGATAACTTTATTATTAAATGTGAATAAACTTTAATAAAGTGTCAACAGATGCGTCAGTGTGTTGTAAAGCGATAAAATAGTACGCAGACAAATAATTGGAGAGATTTTAAGCACTAAGATAGAAATAACGGGTGCATCTGCAAGACATACATAGTTGAGATGAAAGCTTAAGTAAATGATCGCCATTTTCATCCGTAGTGCACGATTATCGCCATACAGGTTAATTGACGTAGATTGGATCTCAGTACATACACAAGTGAAGTTAGTTTTGTTTCTTCTGCAGCCGTTTTTTTGAGGTTTCATTACTTTTAGTTGCCTTTGTATTAATTGAACATACTATCACTTAATATGGGAAATCAATGTACAAGCATACTTTTTTCACTTACTTTTGCGAGATTAGATATTATTTCACGCCCCTCGACACGAGCGTAATAATCTTCATCAATAAGTAGAGGTTCAATAACAACCAAAATTTTGTGCACAAAAGGGCGGACAAGATCGTCCAGTTTATACAAAATACGATCGATGACCTACCGAAATAAAAGGTGAATAAAACTCATGTTTGTTTTACCTGAAGGTTAAAGATAAAGTACATCAGATGACAGGACTGTATGGTTATGACTCAAATTTGATACTAAAAAATGCATTACATCGTAATTATTTAATACTAAATAAAGGATCAAAACTGGGTCTGACGCAGATCATAATAAGGTTATGGACGACATATAGAATTGTCTGGATTTTCAAGAAGATGGAAATGGTTCCAACAACAATATTGGATGCACGATAGTAATATAGATGAATGGGTGGAATTATAGTTTACGGATGACTTTTGAGAGACGCCAAAGTGATTGTAAGGAAATTCTCCCTACTAGGGTCTAAAGAGGGTGGGTTGTAAATTAATGCGAGAAATTAAGATTGGGACGTAGAATCGGAAGTTAAGGTTAGGAACTACAGTTGAGGTTTTCATCACAAACCGACATCAGCTATAATCCCAAAATGTCATATAGCCAAACGAATGAATTTTGCATCCAAAATCCAAGACCTCCTATCTTGAATTTTCTTGGCTCGACCACAAATTATAGTCTTGCCAGATGAATGTTTTCGTTACCCGCGCGGACCGTGTTAAGACAACTAAGTCTATATTTGCATTATACAGTTTATTATGACTACCTTAATCAAATTCTATTTTAAATAATGTAGTATACACTAGTACACACATTAAATATTGGGTAAGATAAACTCGGAACATGAAACAAACCTGACAAGACTTTCTCAGGTTAATCATACGATTTATGAACAAAAATGAATAACAATAAACACTACATAGTGTGTTTGTCTTCCCTCTAATTCTATTCAAAGCAGTATTATAAAGTTCTACAGATTGGATATTAATGAATTGAAAAGTGGTGCTCAATTTTAAATGCATACTGAAAAGAAAGCATAGAAATAAATATGACAATCAGTATTTGTAATAATGAAACAGGTTTAAAACAATTAAGAAACTGTGTAGATGTACAAACAAAAATGCTGAGATTGTAGACATAATTGAGAGGTCTAATTTACCTTCACTAACAAATGGCGTTCTTGATCTTCTAATGTAGGAGACATCAGAAGGGGTAATATTTGTTTGAACAGAGGTCCTGCACCGAATTCCCTTGCTTTCTCAGTGATCTGCCTTAGGGCTGACTTACGCATTGGAGGAGTACCATTTTTTATCTTGAGTAAAAATGTCATTATCTTTCTTTCACGTGCCTCCTCGGGTGGAAGAGTGTCCTCATCGACATCCTTTAACAAAGAGAAAATGTATTTTAAAAATTAACAAAAAGCTTGTACGGAAAGTGAGATGCAACTTGATATTTACCTCCAAATGCTCTCACATGACCACGCGTATACAGCCACTCCAAAGGAAGTCCTACTCACTGCCTTCTCGTGGTGAGAGTGTTGTTTACGAAATCGAGAGGAAGAGAAGCGGTTTAACCGGGCTAGTGGACCCGGGGAGTTGGTAAACCCTGATTCCAAACCAATGGTGCATAAGGACTCCAGGATTCTAAGGGTAAAAATGGCCTATTGTTGGTCACCGGCTACTAAGGGACTGCGTCTCCTGACGTTGCTCCACTGTTTTGTGGATTAGACCTTTAGATCAAAGGCTCGGGGTGTGGTTCCCTAAGAAAACCACCTGCTAAGAGGTATAATAGATCACTAATTAAAGAAGTGGCAAAACTTCTGAAAACGAAAACTAAGAAACTTCCCACACAAAAATTGGTACGAAAAGTGAATTAAACATAGAGATTTTGATGATAGTTCAGTGTCATAAATGACTTGATAGACTAATGCTGTCATGGTTGGCACCAGGATACCTCTTCGTGTGCTTGTGACTTAGAAACTACCGAAGTCAAGATTTAGTCAATACATTTACCGTTATGAATCCAACCACCTACAGCTGACCGACCTATATGTACGAGTTGGAACAAGTGAATCTATGAATCAAATGATGCATAATATTTTAAGAATGTATTTGGAACACTAAAGTCAGTGTTAAAAGACAACTACATCAGATGAATTCCAATTCCCAACATGATTTAACATGACACAGAGGTTCAGAACAACCACTTTAAGTGAAGGTCATTAGTCCTACAGAGATAGTGGTATCTGAACATATGGAATTCTTTCGGAATTTCAAGCCTAGAGCAATTGAGCGTGACAGATATTTGTCTAGATTACATGAATCGAAGTAACAAATTTGACTTCTGATAGACAGATGTTAAGATATCAAAAGTTTTGCAAAGATGATTCATTAACTTTTTCTGTATGGGTAGTCTAAATGACTGGGAATACATCAGGTTTATAGATTCACGAATTTCCAATTAATTAACAGTGAGTTATGTAACATGAATTAAAGCACTGGAAAATGATGAAACAAGGTTTTGTCGAAGCATCAAGATGGTTTAGAACAATGAAGTTAGGTGTTTGTATACTTCTCAGATTTTGAACTAAACTTACATGAAAAGTGATAGTTCCAAAAAGAAATTGTTTAGTGAATAGAAATTATTTCTGGCGTAATAAAATTGTAAATAAATATTCAGATTAACTAACTTGTAGCAGTTTATCAAAATACTGTAGATCATCAGGTCTCATCATGGGTAAATTAGCTCCTTTCGGTTGCATGTCACCAAGAGCCGCAGCATTACCTCCAGTTGCATTCATACCAAACCCAGCTGTTGTTCCAATATCAGGTGTGCCGATTCTAAAGCCCATTGGAGTCCCTCCAATCATTGGAGTTGGTGTTGCTACCAATCGATGAGCAGGAGTCCTTATTGGGACGTAACCGGCGGGCGGTGGCATGATCTTATAACCTGAAGACAAGTGAACCAGTATATTAAATTTTATACACAAAATTGTTTACCCAACAGTTATGTGTGCAACTGTAGCAGAAAAAATGACAACTTGATTGTTATTGATGTTGGTTAGTTAACAGCAGTAAAGATCTCATTTTCCATGAAATGCAGACATGAGACTATCCCTGGTCGTGAAGCTAACTGAAATGATACATTTCGCTGAAACGAATAACATTAATAGCCGACAGACTGGGTAGGTTTGGTCTTGACTTCATATACGATAAAAAGAAATTACAAATCCGCGATCTATCGGAATCGCAGGTGACTGGCGTAAAAATAAAGGCAGTCATTCGAGGAAGTCAAATATATAAGCGAACTTGTAAGTGTGCACCAAATAAAATGGTAAGGATGTTTTAAGTACTGACCCGCCAACTAACGAAGGGCGTCGTTATTTGGCATAATTATTTGGGAGGAATATTTTTTTATAATGAAGCACCACCAAATATGTCCCGCACAGAGCGAAAAGATGACATTGCGAACAAATCACAAAACCCTTAAAAAAACAACAGGTAATGAGAAAGTTGGGGTAAAAACGCGATTTTATTTACACCCAATACAATAAACACAACAGCGCGAATGCTAAAAGCATTTATCCTGAGACATGATGACACGCATAACCTTTAGAATCCCTTCTAGTCAAAATGTGTTGAAAAATGTAGAGGTGACAGAACTCCCCCTTATTTTTTACCATGTCATAAACCGGTCGTTATTGTTTATCGAAGAATGCACAGTATGAGATGAGTGAACATGAATTAAGGGATGTGTAGGCCACCGCGAATGATGTTTAGAAACAGAAACAATCGTTGGACTGTCGTCTAACCAATGATAAACAATTAAAGGTTTATGTTGGAAAACCCAACATAGTGTGAAAGTAGCAGTTAGCTATTTAAAAGCTCACATTTACTTTATTTTTTGTCTGAAATATGATAACTTGTTATATGTTGCTTAAATATACTTGGCATGGTAGGGACGATGGATTCAGTAAGTTAGTAAGTTTTATCTGCAACAAATAAGTTTATATTTTCAAACTAACACAAGATTGGTGAAAGAAATAGTTGAAATTCAGTGAATAACTTAGTAAAACCGAACAACTCGTACCTGGAGGCAACAACTCATCTAAATCCTCATCAGTTAGAGGTCTGTTTCGATCATCGATCTCCTTCTGCCAAGCATATACTTGTAACTGTTCGGGAGTCATTGGGATTCCTGCTCCTGGTATTGTTATGGCAGCAGACCCAAAATTTGGTGTGGCCATAGCCATAGCCCGTAAACCTGTTGGAGTAGTTCCGGAAGGAGTGAAAGCGCTGGCCGCATTAAAGCCTCCAGGAGTTGCTCCTGGTGTTATCCCACCCATAGCACTTGACGGTGTGAAGCTGCCCGGAGTCTAAAAATTAAAACCATAAAGAACGATGACATCTATTATAGGGATCTAAATCATATATGTGCATCGCCTTTGTCTAGTTTCTGCGACATGCTGAGAGAGAAATGACATATAGATGATCGTTGAAGTTTAGAAGACCAACTTATGAACCGCGCTGTTTTATTAACTTATACAACACGCGTGTTTTATCCTTAACCGACTTTCATCAGTACATTTTTGGCAACTCGAAACAGTGAATGCTACGATGATACACGCTTTTATATCATAATAAAATAAAAAATCACTAAGGTGCTCTTGAAAACTGCAACCTACAGGTGCTGTGAGTACTTAGGACCGAAAACCTAACGAAATCATGAACACGAAACAAGAAAGCAATAACATGCATAGCTGATACATCCCTAAATATTCAAGGATAATTTAGTAGGTCATTGTTTTAAATAGTTTGAAAATCATTCAACTAATTCTTTACTTTGTTTAATCTTGGCAATCAACATTTTAGGATTTGTTAGATACGTTTTGAAGTCTACAGAAATGTTTATTTGATGGGCTGACTTGATAAATTCAGGGAGTACCGTACACGTGATTTAAATGCTTATCGTTTGGTACTAATGAATAAATTTGTTGCTAATATTGAAATATTCTTAGTTATCAGCGATAAGTCAGCACTAAATTATTGTTGGCAGATATTTTTGCTTGCCAAAGCTCTTAGCTAGCTAGATTATACTAAAAAGTTAGTTGTTTGTTAAGGCCAGCGGTTCTACACTAAATTCGAAATTTTTAACATGAAAAGGTACACAGTAAAAATAAAATCATTTGTTGCACCAATATGAAGTCTACAGACGAAATACATCACCGCTACTAACCTGAGATGGTGTTAAACCACCTGGAGTTGATCCTGCTTTTAGTGGAGTTTCGTCCCATCTAGATCTGCGCTTAACGGCAAGTGCGGCTGCAGCAGCAATACTTGATGGAGTGGAGCCTGGTCCATAAACCATTGAAGATGGTGTGTCTTGAATTGACTCTACACCGCCAGGAGTTCGATCAGCTCTGGGGGTTTCTGCCCATCCAGCACCATGACCTGGTGTATCGGCACCATACCTTTCAGTGTGAGGAGTTTCGTCCCAACGGTTACGTCTAGCACTAGGTGTCCCCTAGAACGGGAAAAAATTAAAAGCATTAGCACGAGGAATTAGTTAGCGGCATGAAATTCACCGGTCTCAATACTTACACCAAATGCAGAACTTCCTGTTTCTCGACCTGGAGTAGCTGCAAAGTGGGGAGTTTCTGACCATTGCCTAACGCTTTGTCCAGGGGTTGCGCCAGGGTCTTTTGCTCTCCCGGGAGTGTCATCCCACTGTGACCGGCTTCCAGGGGTTGAGACTCCTGTAAGTGTAGAGGGTGGACGTGAAGGAGTGAGTGCGTCATCTCCCCAACGCTTCGAAGGAGTTGATGGAGTAGCAGCAGGAGTTGGTGCGTCATTCTTAGTCCCGTTGACATCTGTGGTAGGCTGATCCCATCTACGTCTTTTCGTGGGAACTTCTGAGTCCATCCGTAGAGTCCCAGTCTTACCTCTTTCGGCTATCTCTGCCTGCAATGCCCGTTGTTCCTTGGTGAGTTGCTGATTAAGCATGATATCTTTGTACGTTGATAGACGGTGATCCGGTGTTTGGTCGCCTACAAACGCCAATTCATCAAATTATTTGTCAGTGGTGCGCAGAAATAAATATAAATAAAAAGAAGCAAAGACAAATTAGGCATTAGAGAACTATACACATAATTTAACATCATAAAAAAAATGACGCACGTGATGGGTTTATCCCGGGCCATCGTTTCCGAACCAAGAGATTGCTTCAAGGTTGAATGATGCGAAATCGCTGTAAAAGAGTTTGGATTGCGTAGAATGTATAAGAACTAAACAATCACCTAATCATATGCACTTACCAAACGCCCTAACCTTACACAAAAAATAAGCCCCGCTGGACACCACATCGCTATACAAAAAAGAAAAATTCGTTCTTAGATGGGGTAATAACTTAAGGATAAATGTTGATAAACAATAAAAACGCTGTTTGTATACATACCATCAGCGAACGGGTCTACTCTTGCTGGAGAAATCATCAGCAATCGACGACGCGAACGATATTCATCCTCACGATCAGCAATAGTTGGACGGCGAATCTCACCTAAAAGGATAGTCGTAAGAGGACATGATCATTTAACATACCATTTTCAGTGGTCATCCTGCGTCAGTTTTTAGTGTTGACCGCCTCAAATTACGAAGTGTAATTTTAAACGAGGTTATGCAGATGATCGAAATCCAATTACAAACAGAATTTTTAGTAACACAAAAATACTTTTCTTTTATTACTCCGTTTGTTCCTACGCTTTATACATCCAATAAACCGTTCAATGTGACAATCGATATTCTTGATGACACTGTAGGGATAAATAAATCCCTAAGTCAACAGCTCTGCAAGTCTTTGACATCAATATTGATTTCATTAGTTTTACTGAACAAGCCCTGGCTGAAGGCGTTGGTCATGCATCTTCACCAGAACACCACTGGACATACTGTGCAAGGCAATCATCGCAATTAGAAGCCAGATGTGATCAATGCCCATGACATATCGAATACATTCCAAATGTATCTTCAAACTCGTTCACTACTGACTTTTGATTTAACTGAGTTTGGGATCTTATGATTACAAATGTGTTACGGACAAGAGCTTTGTCAGACCCTGAATATCCGTGACATCTCCGATAACTTAAAACCTGCACCTTAGTGATCTAACAGTATAGGTGAATTTAAAATACCAATTTTTGAAACCGGTCACTTGGCTATGAACCCGGTATCACAGCTTAAAAAGGTCAATATTAACCTGCGTAGGTTGAATAACTGGATAAGTGTGATCGGAACATGAAGCAGTATGGTTGCAAACGGTCTATATCACGCTTTCTTTCCCTCTAAGCTTAAATCGATCTCTGCCTGATATGATTTAATTCGTCACCTAAATTGCACCAGAGATGAAAAATCCTTCGACCGCCGTGTTAAGGTGGGGCAGAATAGGAAGTTATTGGGTAGTATATCTTCAACTTAATACTATATAGATCACCCAACTATATCTTTCCAGTCAACCGTACTCCAGGATTAAGACATGTAGTTAGGTAGTATAAATAAACCAATTCTAAGGATTTCAGTCCACCTCAACAATTCTACGCTTTCAGAAGCTGACATTTTTGGAGTACCTACAAATAACTCATAATGATCAAGTACTTCCCAATTACTTTTGAGATCTATTTACATTGATGCTTAAATATGACGCTTTTGAACGAACGTTCGAAATGCTTGAAAGTTCGTGTTTGTTCATTAAACAACTGTTTATTTAATCCATAAGAATTTGACCATTTTAACGACAGCCAATATACGTGACCATGGACAACCCTTGGCAAACCCACCATTTGCATTCGTCAGGCATTAAATTCTAGTACCCAAAGTGTGCGACCAGTAAAACATCCCTAGATTCCGGCTAAATCATTTGGCAAACAGGTCGCTGACTGTCGAACAATCAGTTGATCTTCGCCAAAGGACAATTAACGTGCATTAATCAGCTGCGTCCCATGGACAGACGCATGCAGTGGTGATTCTACCTTGTATCTCTACTAACCGTTAATAAAACATACGCATATACCAAAGTGATAGATGATTGGAAATCCATCCCGTCTTGCTCCGAACACGATAAGGGGCGAAAGCAACTTAAGTGTAGGCTAATTAGAAAGCCTACGCAATGGATGTGGGGAGTGATTGTTAACGAAAGAAAAATAGATGGCAGAGGTAGCAACAAAAGGTGATAGTGAACTACTCTTCAGGCTTATCGACCAGACGGATATTAGAAATCCGGCTGTTAATATGACTATGAAAACATGCGAAACTATTAGTCACTCCCAGTCCATGTGATTGAAATATTGGCAGAACACTTTAGGGAACAATTCAAATGACATTCAGTCACACTTCAGATGCTCATAATCTCCCTGCAGCCCGAGTGGTGAATTAGCGTAAGTCCCTTAACTCTTAATGATGTTCAAGATATTGCAAGCAACCTAGAGTAAGGGAGAGCAGTAGGTTTTGATGGACTAATCCCAAATATCTCTAGGGATGATGGTTAATATTTCATAGTTAAATTGACCGGCATCACAATCCCATCTGCCTGGTCTCGATAGCTAATCGTCTCAGTTTGCAATAAAGAATAAAAACCCTCCTGTGTCAACTCGAGGAATCGGTTTAACTAGTATGTTATTTAAAATATTAATTTCATTAGCACGACGATGGTTAACTAGCGCCTATGAAGTGGAATCACAAAAAATATAGGCTGGCTTCCGATCTTGGTATAGATGTATCGACCAGAGATTCACCCTCCTCCAGGCTCTTGAACATAGACATCCTTCTGAACATCCGACTGTAGTCGTATTCCTTGACATTAAGGCGGCACCAAACCCTGTAGATTGTCAGGTTTCATGGAAGTGTATGTTACTGAAATGTGTACCAAATAATCCAGTCAACCCTGTACAGGTTCTCCATTGGAGCACTACAAGTCAAGTTAGAGCTTATGGTGATTTATCATTGCAATTATCGACATATAGTGGTGTTCTTCAGGTCCGTCCCTTCTCTCCACTCCTATACAACTTTGTCAAACGTACTTTTGGAGACAGCGCTCCCATCGTCTGATATTTCAGGGGTTATTGTACCAAAAGATTTACTGACTGACTTGAAATACGCAGATAATATAGTACAGTCTGGTTAAAACACCGAAAAAGTTTAGTCTTCTGATTTCCTTGAACGACAGCCCAAGCATTTTCGGTATGAGAATCCCTCACCCCAAATGCAAAATTTTGCCCCAAGACTGGTCTTCATCAACACTTAAACTCACGATAGGGAATGGAGTAGTTGAGTGTGTCAATCACATTCATCTCGCGAGTCTCATAAATCCCGGATGGTTGGTGTCCGATGAAATTTTGACGCCGATTATAAAAAACTTGGCTGATTTTTATTAAATTGCCCATTTTTGGCTTAGGCGAGGTATCCACCCAACAACCAAAGAGTGAGTTTACTGTGCAACACTTCATTCCATTCTGCTTTCTTGGTATGAAAAATGGACGCTATAAACAGATAATATTCATAGGTTACTAGTATTTGATTTTAGTTGCCTTCGAGGCATAGCTCGTGTATTTTGACACCACTGAGTAAGCAATACGTAGGATAGGGTTAAGATGCCATGTACCAATGACGAATAAGCTGACAAGGTAGAAAATCTTCATCGACTGAGGCAGTTTGGACAAGTGTTATAGGTGCTCAACTACCGCCTACCTCAACGTGCGATGTTGTTCAGTGTAGAAGAATGTCAGACGAAAGCCATGAGTGATTTTTGTCACCAATAGGGATAGACGCTGTTATAACTACGAAAGTCCGGCTCCCAGAACTTCATTGTAGTGATCCCGAGTTGCGGTTTGCCCAGCCAGAGCATTATTTCACGAGACGAATTACTTAACCTGAGGGAGTTCGCTATCGAGGTTTGTGTTCCGTCCTCCCTCTTTCAGTCGTCAAAGAAGTCCGCAATTTGATTTATGTCCACCATCGCCACAACCATACACCATCCTAAGACGAGAGATAATGAACCGTTTATTATTATCAGATGGCCAAAGAATTTAGAGGCTTTTCCAAAGGGGAAAGTTAGGTTATAGGTCACTATCACCGTTTTTGCGTCACCTCCAAGTCTTAGTGGATGACGACACAGCGGGTGAAGCAGTCCTAAAACAAGAGTGGATACGAGCTCCTCCATGCTACGTCCAACACTGTTTGGATGCTCGAATCCCTGACACCTCTTTATCTCAGCGCGTGTTGCAGATAGGACCTCTCCCAACTGGATAACGCACGACACATAATACACAAAAAGAAGAACCATCAAAAGACCCAGCAATATCAGGACTCATTGTGAGTGTTAAAAGCTACACGAAGGCTGTCGTCAATATGCAAATGGGTCATAGAAACAGGAACAGGTCTGTAGTGTTGTGTCGAGTCGCGGTCGACTATGAACACCACCACAGGAAGACTACGTGCCAGCCCATCGATAAGATCCCCGGTAGACCAAATATCAGAAGGCAGTTGATGGTAGTAGTCGAGATGTATTTGTTGACGATCTCGTAGTATCGAAAGAATACCGAGATCGTGCCAGGTTACGAGAGGGGTTACTCAGCGTAACCGAATTCGTGCAAGGTCATAATCAACGGAAGAATGTATGCATTTCGTTACAGCTAAACAAACAAGTACGGTAAGACAATCCCTGGTACAATGGGTTATAATAATAATTGTTTCCATCACACCGATCGCGTTCTCTTGATAAAAGTAGGTCACTACAGGTCACCACAACAATCAAGATCTAAGTCACAGAACAGCTCACAAATGTTCGGACATTCTGGGCAGTTCTGTTAGTATCACTGGAAGTTTGGTGTCAAGTCAAACAAGTGCAGACAACCATGTGCCTAGCCTAAACAGACTCCCAAGAACATGGGGAACGAATAAATCCCCCACAGATCGCGACGACCGGGGAGGGGGCCTAAACAGTTGCCTGTTTTGTGTTAGAGACAGAAATTTTTATGGATACTGTTGTTGCCCTCAGTATCATTCCTCAGAACAAAACTGAGATGGGTCGAGAAACTCCCCCCCCATAGAAACAAGAGCAGGTCACTGATAAGTTTTGTTCTTTTGAACGTATTCCCGTCGCCACTGATATGTTTTGTCTTTTGAATGCTGCTTGTTATATCTGGTGGTCGCTGACTGTTGTGTCGGAAACGCTCATCAATTATACTGGAAACGAGGAACTTCTGCAATTCCCACGATGCGAAAGTAAGAAAATAAATACTGGTATAAGTGGAGATTTATTAACCCCCAAAATACAACGACGCTAGTCGAAAATATACTCATTTATATATTGCTTTGTAGACTCATTTTGACTAATAGTTAGCATGAAATCACATGTCTGAAAAACACAGTTATAACAAATCACATGCTGAGCATAGTTCATGTCATTTGAATGCAAGAATGTGGTATATTATACAGAATAAAATATCGCACGAGAAGACAAAACAAACAGTACATTGAATTATCACCATATTGAATAAAAACGGAAGTAATGTTGGTTAAGTGTAGAATCCAAACCACGGTTTGGTATGAAGGATAGCCTCCCAGGTGGATTAGACACGCGTCCTTGCCCGTCAAAACCAAA